CCCCAAAACCCCAAAACCCCAAAACCCCAAAACCCCTATTTTATCAAAATAATATTAAAAAATGGAAAACTCTTACGTCTATTTTACCGAACAGAAGCTAAAGAACTCCAGATTACAGAGTCAAAATAGTTTGAGCAACTATAGCGGTCTAGATAGTTGAGATAGGAAGGAATCTGGCCAGGAAACAGCCCTGGATAACCCCCAGTTTTATAGAACAAGCGATGGTCATTCAGAGGAGAAAGAGGATAACTTTGCTAACTTCAAATAAAGTCCTGACTGGTATCGATATTACTCGGTTTCAGAGAAGGAATAGGGAGAGGCCCAGAGCATATAATACCTTCTTAACGAATGCCAAGACAGGTAAGAAATTATAATAGAAATATCTTTTGGCTTATGAGTGAGGGTCTGGGGATTTAAGAAAATTACTGAGAGTTTAGTGAGCAATACACTTGACGAAGGTGATATGAAACTTCCTGAGATCCAGAGAGAGTTCACTGATAAATCAGTAGATGCGATTCTGACTCCAGATAGAAATAAAAAGAAAGCTAATGCAAAACTCCAGACTAATAGAATTCCAAATTTAAAACTATGGATAGAGCAGAGGTAAATAATATATCACAAATATTAGATCTAGCTCTGTAATTGAGAGGCATACTCAGATATCTCAGATGTCAAAACCTTTATCAACACTAATAAGATTTCATCCTCGGTCTCCTCCCCTTGATTTGCAACAAGTGCCTCTTCGGGACTACCAAGTTGTCAAATAAATCCGACTTGCCTATAAAATTGTCCGATTCTGAAGAGGGCCTACAAATCTACGACCTTATAAATCAGCAAGTAATGGGGTGATTCAAGGATGATTTTTCGGGGAACACATATGTGGCTCAAGAAAAGTTGTTCAAGTTTCATCCAATAATTAAATAAAAATCTTGAATTTGAGTCATTTTGAGCATTCCTTGCAAACTGCCCACTAATAGAACTAGAGCCAAATCAGGTTCTTTACTCTGAATCTGATCTGGCTGGAAGTTTCTACTGGATTCTCTGTGGAATGTGCCGACTCCAGAGTAATAAAGAAGGCATTTTTGGCTATCCACAGTTAGGAACACTTGTCGGAGAAGATCACCTGTTCAATACCATCACTCAACAAATGAATGACCCCGGTATTGTCTTGCATAACTTTTAGAGAAATGTAAACGGCTTACCATGGATTACAAAGAAACTTGCATTGGCAATGAGAAATCATACCTTTTGGAGATCTCTCATTCCGCTTGGAATAAGATACAGACTCAAGTGGAGACAATGGGTCACTACCGATGAATCAGGAGGATGAAGAACATCATCAAGCAATGATGGGTTTTGAAGAAAAGTTGGAAAAGACATAAAAAGTTCAAACTACAAAAATTACTCAAAGAGTAGCTTTTCCATTAAAATTTGCAATTATGATCATATTTATTGGGGTTTTGGGGTTTTGGGGTTTTGGGGTTTTGGGGTTTTGGGG